GTTTAGTACAAGTGACAAGTAGAAATGAAGGATCAATGTTTTTTTAACACATAAGCCAGACTTTTTGTATTCCTTGTTTCTCGAGTTTTTATAAGTCAATTTTTTTGAGGAGGGCGGGATAAAAAATAACATTAATTCTTTTTTTCCATTAAATTTGTGTGATTCTCAAAGAATTATAAGTGAGATCATTGATCGGAGAGAAGAATTGAAATAATGGTGGCACAATTTTCAGCATTAATGAGGGATTTCTCCGTGTTTGACGACAGAGTTTCACGGCGTGTCGCCTAGTAGTCTCAAGCAGCACGCAGAGAGGTCAATACCCAAGATTCACTGTCAACCAACGTGCATAAAGTTTAGATCTATCTGTGCGAGACTATCGTTACTTTCATCATGATACTCCCATGAACATGCAACTTTGATTTGTTAGGCGGCATGCGAAAAAAAAATGTAGATAAAAATATTTTTTGTTGGCAATTTTTTGCACTCACGAGTTGGCGGGCACGAGAAATACGCTGAAATAAAATTTTATTTTTATTTCATTTTCGGCTCCTGTTCATTCGGCGGGTTCGCGAAACAAGGGATAATAAAAGTCTGGCCTTACACAGATTACTGATTGTGTTACTGTCAGTATAGTACCTACATGGAAACTTTGAACTGAATTGGACTATATCTTACAGAAGAAATAGCATGAAAGAAAAACACAGCCAGTCGGGTAATGTCGTTCATGTATCTCCAAAAGAAATATGGCTTGCATCGTAACTTAATATGTAAGGTCATCATACAAAGTCCGATTGAAAATGCCCTATTAAACTTTGAACTGAATCAGGCCATATCGCCTTGTTCATCTTCAAGAAATAGTTCCGGACATGTTACAGAATGATATTTTACGTTTCTTTGACAAAATGACCACCAGTTTGACAAATGTGATCAAATCTCAAATCAAAACATGTTGTTGTGTTATCTTGAAGTATAGTACCTGTGTACAAACTTTGAACTGAGTCAGGCCATATCTTACAGTAGAATTAGCACGAAAACGAAAAAAGAAAAAAAAAAAATAGCCGCCAGTCGGCGATTTTGGTCCAAATTTTGAAAAAACTATGGCGTGCACTTGTAACCCAATATGCATGATGACCATACAAGTTTGGATTGAAATCCCAAGAAACAGTTACAGACTGATATTTTACAGGTTTTTTTGAGAAATTTTCGACAAATTTGATCAAATCTCAAGACAAAACATGTTGTTGTGTTACCTTGCAGTAAACTTCCTATGTACAAACTTCAAAGTGACAGAGCCAGAAGCCAGTGTGACAGAGATAGTAGCCTGTGTGACGGAGACAGTAGCTAGTGTGACAGAGACAGAAGCCAGTGTGACAGAGCCAGAAGCCAGTGTGACAGAGACAGTAGCCAGTGTGACGGAGACAGTAGCCAGCGTGACAGAGACAGAAGCCAGTGTGACAGAGCCAGAAGCCAGTGTGACAGAGACAGAAGCCAGTGTGACAGAGACAGAAGCCAGTGTGACAGAGACAGAAGCCTGTGTGACAGAGCCAGAAGCCAGTGTGACGGAGCCAGAAGCCAGTGTGGCAGAGACAGAAGCCAGTGTGACAGAGACAGAAGCCAGTGTGACAGAGCCAGAAGCCAGTGTGACGGAGCCAGAAGCCAGTGTGGCAGAGACAGAAGCCAGTATGACAGAGACAGTAGCCAGTGTGACAGAGACAGTAGCCAGTGTGACAGAGACAGAAGCCAG